AGGTGGAGAATTATTAAGAAGATGCTTATTATTGACCTCTGGCCTCTACACATGTGTGCATATGCACAAGTAGACTTTAGAGCAACCAGTTTTTTTCTAATGCATCAAATGTTTCCACCTATGGTGATGAATTGTCTGACAGATCAGGGACATGTTCCTTTTTACTGTACCATGTAATGCAGAATTTAAAAGTCAGTCTGATCTGGGTGCAGTGGCACACACTTTTAATCCCAGATCTCAGAAGGCAAGAGGCAGAGGCAGGCAGATCTCAGAGTTTGAAGCCAGCCTGCTCTACAGAGTGAGTTCCAAGACAGCCAGGGCTGCACAGAGAAACCCTGACTTGAAAAACCAAAGGTGTGTGTGGGGGGGTGGAACTATATTTGCCAACATTTCTTGTTGGATGTTACTAATTGTTATTATGCTATTGAGAAGGGTAGTTCTTTCTCATTAGTTGTAGTAGTTATGTCATGTTGTTGTAAAGTAAAAATATACTGAACTCTTGTGCCACGAGAGGAAAGTAGAATTGGGTTCCTGGTTATAACACTCTTGTCTACCAACCAACATCTTGCATAATTTTGTTTGTTTTTTCTGGGGTGGGTAGGGAAGACTCTTTCATTGATATGTCAATATCTATCTATCTATCTATCTATCTATCCATCCATCCATCACCTACCTACCCATCCATCATATCTATCTATCTATCTATCTATCTATCTATCTATCTATCTATCTATCTATCTATCACATCATCACCTATTTTCTATCTACATATTTCTACTATACTATCAATAGTATCTATTATACAATGTAGCTATCATCTAGCCACCTATCATCTATCAATCACAGCTATTAGTCTATCTATCTATCTTTTTGTTTTTTGGTTTTTCGAGACAGGGTTTCTCTGTGTAGCCCGGGCTGTCCTGGAACTCACTCTGTAGACCAGGCTGGCCTCGAACTCAGAAATCTGCCTGCCTCTGCCTCCCAAGTGCTGGGATTAAAGGTGTGCGCCACCACCACCCAGCTCTAGCATTACGTATGCGTTCTCTAACATAGTTACTTTCTTAGTAAGGTACTTCACAGCCTGCAATGCTTAGAAACACTAGGTGGCATTTCAGGGAGTCCACCAGAGAAGTCCACTTATATACAGTCTGTAGACAACTGAATGTTCTTATTCCAAGCAGCTGAGACTAGTATTCAGGACCCAAGTGTAGCACCAAACATTTAAAGCAAACAGCTTTTAAAGGCGAAATCAACCTCCTGTTATCTTGGTCAGCAGCTGTAGGGGCAAGTTTTGTGCAAGCAAGCAGTTCAACAGAAATTAAGATAAGCAGTTAGTTGAGGCAGCATGTCTAGGGACCACTTGACACAGTGAAGTCACCAGAAAAAGCACCAAGATGCAAAAGGCAGCAACAAATGAAGAAGGGCAATTAGTGCTGAGAGCTGAGACAAGAAGGCAGACCACCATGAAAAAAAAAAGATTTTTAATGTGTATGTTTTTGACTATATGTATGTTTGTACACCATGTGTGTGCTTGGTGCTCAGGAGGCCAGAAGAGGGGGGTCAGATTCCTTGGAATTGGAGTTACAGATGGCCGTGAGTCACTTTGTGGGAGCTGGGTACCAAGGCCAGGTACCCATGAGCAGTCAGTGCTCTTAAGCACCAAGCTGTCTCTCCAATCTTGCATACCATACTCTTGAACTCAGCTGGGAGCTTAGACTTTGTTTGATTCAGGTTTTGTTCTGCATATGTCCACAAGTGTCCATTTTTGGGTTAGAAATAATGTTCTCTGAGCAGGTCAATTCACACTAGAGAACTGGAATCTACAGGAAGGACTGCCTGTATATTAACTGCAGCATGCCTCCGTCTACCATCTGCCAGCTCGTAAGAAAGACAGTAGAGGTTGCCTCTTCACTGAGAATTGACTGACACGGTTCCCCATCCCTCTGAGACACGCCAGTGTTGCTGGAACCCTTACCATAATGTTATATTCCATGCCCTGAGAATGTTCCTAAATCCACTCACCTGGTCCTTTTCAAGTTCTTGATGAAGCACCCTGAGAATCTAGGCCCAGGGAGTAACCCTGTGGCATCTGCCAGCACGGACTGGCTGTTTTCAGTAATCTTGGTGTATATTCCCTCCACCTCTGGCTAAGTGTAACATCATTAGCCAGTTAGTCTGAACTTTAATTCTAGTTGCCATCAAAGAAAGCAGGCGTGACACTGAGCGCATAGTGGAGGGCGTGCTTTTGTGGAGGGCTTCTGTAACATCCTGTAGCTCAGAGACACCTCCAGTTCGCTTATAAAGCTGCTCTAGTCATTACTTATGTTACTGCAACAAGTCACCTGATAAAACAGTTTAGGAAAGGAAGGGTTTGTTTGGATTCACAGTTTAAAGGTTCAGTCTATCGTGGTGAGGGGGACCTGGTCACATTGCATCACCGTCAAGAAGCATAGGGTGACAAGTTCTGCTATCAGCCTTGTCTCCGGTTTGGTCCGCCCAGGCTAGTGAGTCACCCACACTCGGGATGAGTCTTCCCACCTCAGTAACGCAGTCTAGGAAATCTTTCACAGGCACGCCCAGAGGTTTCTTTCTGTGTTTCTAAGTCTGTCAAGTTGACAATCAAGATTAGCCACCTGAGGTCATTAGCATGTGTATATTGCAAATGCTGAGCTTAATGCCTGTGTGTGTATCCAAAGTCACAGGCACACTAATGGTACACTAATGGTAGCTAAGCTGTACTTGAGCTCCTGAGAAGTGCCAGGCCCTCCTTCACATATTATTGTGTTTCACTCTTCAACAGCCTGTCTGAAGTGAGTACTATTTTAAAGTGTTGTTTTTTAATTTTTATTTTTTTTATGGTTTTTCAACACAGCCTTTCTCTGGCTGGAGAAATGGCTCAGTCATTAAAGGCTAGGCTCACAACCAAAAACGTAAGACAGAATTTCTCTGTATAGTCTTGGATGTCTTAGAACTCATTCTGTAGACCAGGCTGGCCTCGAACTTTGAGATCTACTTGCCTCTGCCTCCTAAGTGCTGGGATTAAAGGCGTGCACTGCCACCATCACCATCTGGAAAGATAGTTTTTTTTTTTTTTTTTTTTTTTTTTTTTTAGACAGGGTTTCTCTGTGTAGTCCTGGCTGTCCTGGAACTCACTCCATAGACCAGGCTGGCCTCGAACTCAGAAATCCACCTGCCTCTGCCTCCCAATTCTGGGATTAAAGGCGTGTGCCACCACTGCCTGGCAATAGTCATTTTTAAAAAAATATTTTAAAATTACCTTTTAAAACTGTGTGTTTGTGCACACACGTGTGTGTCTGTGTATGTGCACACGAATTCAGGTTCTTGTAGAGGTAGATGCCAGAGGTGACAGATCGACCTAAAGCTGGAATTATAGGCAGTTGTAAAACACCTGATATAAGTGCTAGGAACTGAACCTGGGTCCTCTACTGGAACAGTATGTACCATTAACTGCTAAGCCATCTCTCCAGCCTCCTCAACATTCATCTGCCATAAAAAAACCTGAGACATGCAAAAGTAACTTGTATGTGTGCACACAGCTAGCTGCTGGCACAACCAGGCCTTAGACTCATGCAGCAAGTCCCTTTAAGCCTTATAATTATTTATATTTATAAAAATAACTCCAGTACTTGTTTTTCTTTTGTGTGCGGTGTGTGTATGTGCAGGTGACACACACTTGTGCAGAGGCCAGAGGAGGATGTCAAGTGTCCTGCTTTACACTCTCCATCTTATTCCCTTGAGACAGGGTCTCTCACTTTATCTCCCAGACAGCAAGTCATAGCAAGTCTCCTGTTTCCACCCCTCAAACCCTAAGCATTAGGGTTACAGGTGCCTCTACAAGCATGCCCATCTTTTGATGTATGCTCTGAATACTTGACTTAATGCTTGACCATCAAACACTCTTGCCTTCAGAGCCATCCCCAAGTTTCCTCAGGCTTGCGCTTAGCTCTCACCATGCACATCAAGAACCAGAACCTTCGAAAAGAACCCTCACACTGTGCATCTCTTGTTTTATCTAAGGGAAAACCGTTAAGGCTATTCTTCGGGCATCACGGTGTTCTTCATGCAAAATATCAGACGTTTGCCTCGGAGATACCCTATTCCCTCACTTCACACTTAAAGTGGTTTAATTTCTGCTGACTCGATTGTTCCCCCTTCTTTTAAATAGTGCAGTATCTAAATCTTTCCATAAGCTACGCCACAGCACCACAAATTATAATGCTATCAAAGTGCTGATCTTGTCTACATGTCCAAGAAGCATCCTACCTCCTTTCTCTGGTAGGCATAACAATTTTGGCGTGGTTCCGACTTTGGGCCCTCACAGCCACGCCCCTGGCTTCCACGGTCTATGCAACTCACTATCTCTGCCTTTAAGCCAGATGACTTAACCTCTGCTCACTGCATTTGCCTGGCCCAGTCATAAAAGGGTCTGGTTACAGTGAGACAGACTCCAGGCCCATCCTTCCAGCTTTGAATGGCATGGTCTTGGGCAAGACCCTCTTCAGGCCTAACTTTTATCTGTTGTGAAAAACATGGATCAGCCCCAAGGGCCTTGAAGTGTGTTACTGGATTGTGATTGTCAATTTGACAGATTTAGAATCATATAAAGAAACCTCTGGATATGTTTGTGAAGAATCGGGACTAAGGTGATGATGTCTTGCTCACAAAGCCATATTTTGTTGAAAATGATACACTCTAGATAGGAATTTAAGAGGGACACTGGGTGAGGCCTGGAAGGATGTTTGTAGACTGAGTCTATTTCTAGGCAGGGGGTGGGCGTGGCGGGCGGCTGAGCCCGACGAGAGCAGCAGAGCATCCTTGCAAGCCTGAGCGTCTGCAAAACCGAAGCAAAGCCGGTGGGGGACCGATGCTGCAGCGGCTGCGCACTGGTGCAACCAGCCGGTTCATTTGCGTGTCTCCGCCTCTACAACAAGCTGGTTGGAGAATCCTGGCATGGTGCCGCGCGCTGATTGGCTGAGCCGGCCGCCGCTCAGGCCCAGAAGTGGACGGTTCCTACTGCGGCTAGGCACCGGCTGGGCTCCCGCGTCGGGCCCGCTTTTCAAGCTTGCACCTGGCTCAACCTCAACCCAGCTCGGCCCGGGCCCGGTCTCGGAACGAAGGCGCCGTTGCCGCTGGGCCTCTCGCAGGGCCATGAAGAAGCGGCGGCAGCCACTGCGGCCCTCGTCAAGGTGACCAGCCAGCCCGGACTGCAGCGGTGAGAGGCAGTGAGAGGAGCGGCTGGCGGGGCGGGGCCCTGGGCGCGGGCCGCTGCAGGTGCGGGGTGGGGGGGCGGGATCCCCGGCTTGCGGGGGTGGGGCGGGGCCTCGGCTCGAGGGTGGGACCTCAGGTTCGGGGGGCGGGACCATGGTCGGCTTGGGTCCCAGGGGCGCGAATGACAGTGTGTGGTTGGGGGGAGATGGCGACGGGGGAGAAAGGACGCAGGTGCGGGAGGCGGGTCCGGCGGCCTGAGAGACTGGGGGCGGAGCCCTGGCGTGAGGGCGGAGTCTTGGCTCGGGGCGTGGGGTCTGCGGGGGCTCAGGTCCCAGGGACCAGAAAGGGAACCTGTGTGTAGGTAAGCGGCAGGGAAAGGGCTCAGGTGTGAGGGGCGGGGCATGTGGCGGCAATGGGCGGGGCTGCAAGGAGAGCCTACCGAAAAGCACAGGTGCAGCGGGCGGGGCTGGGGAAACCCTGTAGGGGCGGGGGGAGGCAGGGGGCGGGGCTGAGGGTCATTGCCAGGTCCGGAAGCAGGGCTGCAGTTGAGGAGTAGCCGGAGGGTGAGTGGGACCCATCCAGGAGAAGGGAGAAGCTGCCCTCCCCGCAGTCTTTGGGTTTTCGGCCTTCTGCGGGCTCTGGAGGCGTCTATGGTTGTCTCTTAGAGGGGCGGGCCAGGGCAGCCTGTGTCTTTGCTGAGTCGCACTAGAATCGCAGCTGCCCTCGTTAATAGGCCGACTGCTTTCCTGTGCCAAACCGAGCCCTAAGTGGGGCGCAGTGCTTTGTTGTTGTTTTTGGTTTTGTTTTTTGTTTTTTTACTCCCCTACTGCTATTGAAGGAGCTTGGCTGGATTTCGGGGTGGTTGGGTTTCATTGATTGATCAGCTGTTGTAAAATGTGTGCTCTTCAAGAGTAGTCTTTGGTGCGATGCTCGAAAGGGTTCTGGATTGTTGGCTCCGGGTAGCAGATGCTCATGCAGATCTTCACAGTGCTGGTCTCAAAAAGATAGAAAAGGCAGTGTGATGGGGGGCGAATGGGCGGAATGACAGCAAGAACTCAGTTTTTGGAGCTGGGACGGACACCTGGGAGTTATTTTTGCCTTTTTGAGTGTTTTGGTGCTGGCAAAGTGACCATACCTGGTGCCTAATTGCGACCTTCCAAGAGCCAGAGGGGAATTACTTGTCAAGAGGTGAGTTAAGATCTCTTTCTTGAGAGTTTGAATCAGGTTTGTGTTGGAGAATTCCCTCCTCCAAACTGGAGGTGGTTTAGATTGTGGTACTCCCTGTGAAGCCTAGGCAGGATTGCAGCTGGGGAGCCATGATAGTGAAGTGTGTTTAGTTGTTGGCTTTTAGACCCCAGGTCCAGTGTGGAATCTTAGCCGATGGATTAGGGCTATAATAGAGCCCTATGGAGTGCTCCTACTGTCAATTTGATCCTGCCACATTTCAGAAAGAAGACTTTAGGATAAAGAGCACAACAGACCTTCATTAGGTGTTTATAGAGACAGAAGGGAGAGATCCGATAGGGCCCCTGTGCTCCAGAAGTACCCTTTATCTGTATGTGACCTTTGGGTACCTTGTGTTTCCTCACTGGGGCTTGGCCCATCTAACCTGCAATACTTTCACCCTGTGTTGAATGGACTGAAGACAAGGGACAGAAAATTCTTTGCTAGCTTGCATTTGTCTTCATTTTAGAAGCCTGGGACTTTTGGAGGACCAAATACCGTGATGCTGGCTTCCCTTGCTACCACTGACATTGGTGATCCAGTGGCATCATGGAGATGTCTCAGGGATAGGCTCTTGTTGGGAAGGCACTTGTGTGGCAGGTGCTAGGTCTAGAAGCAGCATGTGTGAGTTGTTCCACCCTGTCTTAGCAGAAGCTATGTGTCTCTGAGTGACTGCTTTTGTCTTGTCCTTTGTGTTAAAATGAAGCCCCAGGCCTGGTGGTTGACAGTAAGAACACATATCAGAAAATTAGATGGTAGTTTTTTGTTCCTTCTTTAAAATATTTTTATGTGTATTTAATAAATTTGTGTGCATTCTTGTGCATGTGGGGGTCAGAGGATAACTTGTGGGAGTCTGTTCTCTGCTTCCACCATATGGGTTCCAGGATCAAACTCAGTTTTTCAGGCACCTTTAACCTCTGAGTCCTTTCATTTGCCCCATAATTGACTTTATTTTTTCATAATTGGCTTGTTAATTTGTTAATAGAGCAACAACATTCAGTGCTGAGAGAAAACTGCATAATAGAAAACTGTGATCTGTCCCCAGCCTGTTCCTTACAGCTCTGACTTGGGAGGCAGGCAGATTGGCTTGAAGCCTCCCACTGTCCCTTCTGCTGTGTGACCTAACACCAGCTTTTTACTTTCTCAGAGCTTTGCTTTCCTTAGCTGTAAAAATTAAGAACAAGTATGATTTGTAAATTTCTTGTAAAGAATCAACAAGCTATTTCAAGGTACTGCAGATACATGGCACCCAGTCTTGGGGCCTTTCTCTCCCTGCCCTACCCCCGGCTACCAGTTTCTAATATGGTTACTCAGAACAGCATGTGGCACAAGGAGATGAGGACCAGGAATTCTGAGGCCTTTGCCTCTTATATAACCTCAAACAAGTCTCCTTCCCTCTCCAGAGCTACTGGGAGAGTGCTGGACAGTGTGATCCTTAGGAGTGCAAACTCTAGCTTCTGATTGGCAAACTGAAAATCTTAATATTTTTCAGTAAAGCAGGAGGGCAGAAGTTGATGACCCATGGTTTACTTTTTAAAAAAATAGCTGTCTAGGGGCTGAACAGGTGGCACATTGGTTAGGATACTTCCTGTTCTTCCAGAGGACCTGAGTTCAGTTCCCAGCACTCACATTAGGCAGCACACAATAGCCTGTTTCAGAAAATACAACAGCAATATCGTTCCTGTTGGGCACCTGGTAGGGAGTCGCCAAATATTTGTTGAAGGAGCAGATGAAGGACATTGTCTAGGAAGCCAGTCTGGCCAACCGTTTCCCCTGCTTGCAAGTCTGCTGTGCCTTCAGCATGTGTTTTGTCTGTCACACAAGAATGTCACAGCCAGATGTGGTGGTGGAAATCTTTAATCCCAGCATTCAGTAGGCAGAGACAGACAGATTTCTGTGCTTTTAAGGCCATAATGAGACCTGGTCTGGAACAAAGAAAGTAATATCTCAGTGCTATAGTGGAATGTGTGAGCTTCAGCATGAAAGCAAAACTGTGAAACAGGAAGAGTTAAGTTGGGGTGAGGGATGGAAGGGCAGGGTGAGAGAGTACAGAGAGGGGTAAATGATGAAGTCATGGAAATGTGTTACTGTAGAAACTATATATGGAAGAACACATATACGCATACAAAGCTAAAATATGGTTACTCTATAACAGGGTACCAGTGCTCCACTGGACGCCACAGACTAACAAATAAAAAGTTCAGTTCTAGGACTCAGTTACCTCTTTTAGTCAGTAAGATTCCTTAGACCCTCAAACATTATAGACTCTATTCAGAACTTGATGTTAAGACCCCATTGCTGAAGAGGCCACATAATTGAATCATAAACCACAGAGAAACCAAGCTGGAAGCTTTATTCCTATTGGCCAGTTTTGTAGGGCTGGGACATTCACCAGAGGAGGAAAGTGATCTTTCCAACTGTGAACCCTGTGAACTACAGTGCCTGGCCTGGCAAGACACGCCCGCTGGTACATTGGTGGCGTGAATGTCATGGTAGTAACCAGTCCTTTTCTGATTGGATTTTAGACTCACTTCACATGATGACCGATATCTGGAACCATTATGGGCCAAGAGCCTGAGGCTAGATAGGTCATATGCCCCAGGTGAGAACTCCTAATACCTATCTATGCCTGTAGAGAAGAGTGTCCTTCAGCCCTCACCAGGGAAGTTGCTTCTTACAGTAGATGACAGTTAAGACAGAGATTCACACTTGTTAAGGTACAGAGACTAAGAGACAGTAGAATGCTCAGCCCTAGATGGGACACCTGTATCACATCCCTTCCCCTAAGGCTCGAGGATCATTAAAGAGGAAGACGGGATGGGACGACTGTAAAGAGCCATAGGTGGTGGATGAAGGTGAGGAAACAGTATTTTCCAGACACAGCAGGGCGACTGCACATAGGAACTCATAGCAGTTGTGACAATATACACAAGACCTGTGCAGGCCTAAGCCAAACCAAATTCCAGCATGGAGAGAAGTGGGCATGAAGTCCCACCTCTGGCTCAGGAACCATTAGCAACTGATGGCTGCTGGGAGAGGTGAGAGTCAGTTTTCTTTCTGTGTTGTCCCTGGCATGTTTTCCACACTCCAGTCCAGTCCCACACATCCAAGAATGTATGAGCAGCATAGGCTGGACTTAATGGGTTTAAAGCAAGAACAGAGAAGACACAGAGTTAGGTGGGTAGGGAAGGGTGGGTCTGGGAGGAGTTGGGTTGAATATGGTGAAAACACATTGTGTGAAATTATCAATGAGCTACTTAAAAAGAGAGAGAAAACAAGGCTGCCCTCTAGTTGTGTGCAGTCTCAGTGTACACGGCACGCATGCGTGTTTGTTCACATAGCCTTTCTTTTCACAGTCAGTTCTTTTAAATAGTGCTTTAAAACTTTATATGAGTACACTGTCGCTGTCTTCAGACACACCAGAAGAGGGCATCAGATCTCATTACAGATGACTGTGAGCCACCATGTGTTTGCTGGGAATTTAACTCAGGACCTCTGGAAGAGCAGTCAGTGCTCTTAACCGCTGAGCCATCCCTCCAGCCCACTTTAAAACTTTTATCTCGCAAGATTAAACAGAAATTACAGGGATTATTTTAAGCAAGCAGGGGCTCAGATGTTAGGTGTCTGTCTTGCCTCAAGCTGGCAGTTCCTAGTCCTCTTCTTGGAGGGGGCTGCTGTGAACGGGTGTTTGTTCTATATTCTTTCTCTTGCAGCAGTCTGTACATATCACCTGTCCCCTTTGAGTACCCTTTGACTCTAGTCTGAAACCGTTTCAACCAT